AAAGAGCAGAGATTTTTTTTCCCCACAGCACTCAGTGGGATATTTAAATTACCTATGAAACATCAACCCTCAATTACTATTTAATTCCGTCCCCCCCAAATTGGGAACTTCACCACACGTGGTGGCCTATTTTCCGCCGCCCAAGTGAATCGGAATACCCTTAAAGAAGTAAAATTTAAGCATTTGGACTTTGCAGATATCCATTCAGGCTTCCTACCTGTTTCAATCGTCAAGGCAGAAATCGTCGCATAATTTTTTCATGTTTCGAAACGGGAAAGTAAAGTCAACTGAAGACATCCAGCCGCTATCTTGGGCTTATATGGAGGATGATTAAAGCCTGGTTCGAAGCCACAATGTTCGAAAATGCTCCATTTTCTCTGTTTGGACCCGCACGTCACTGGCACTTTCGCCGTTTTTCTCACATCAAAGGAGCTTTCGACCGACTGTTTGTAACTGAGGCAGAAGCCATCCGCAAAATGTACCAACTTACTGTGCACGCTTCAGCTTCTCCTTACAATGGCTTACAATATACGAGGTACATAATTATTGTCTCTCTCTTGTATATTAAATGAATGTACATTTGTTATTGCGGGACTGTTTTTATTGAAACGAGGATACGGAACAAAAAAAGTATTTTAATGATGAACTAGTGATGTTACAGACTGTACGGACTTTCCTCGTTCCAGTTGGTTTCGCTATTCTGTTTAGTTAGAAGCTAGCTTTTCGTTTTCGCCTTACCGCTCTCTTAACTCTTATTGTCCAAAGTTTCAGCATGAAGTTTCTACGGGGATTCCTACGGGAATGACGACGCCGGGATCCTCAGTGGTGAAGAAAGGCAAGCGCCTTCGCGTCATGCGAAACAATAACATGGAAAAAGTGCATTATTGATAATTAAGGATGTTTTGTAAAATAAATATATTAAAAATTAAATATTTAAAAATTAATTAACATTTTTGAATTTACACATTCAAATTTCACGCAATTTTTGGCTAGAATTTTACGCGAAATATCACGGTGAAATGTGAAATGTGACAGTAGAACGCCGCGACACAGCCTGACATAATCTCATAATAACCTCTGGATATATGAAACGCATTGCTGTATCAAAGTGATGTTTTACCTTTTAATGAATTAAGTTTTCGTTCTACATTAGGTAATCAGTAATCGAAGTGATGACTGAAGTGTGTTGATGGACACAAGTTGCGGATTTACTACTTCACGTAAACATTTCTGACGCCAAAATGTACGGGCTGTTGTAACACCACTACGTATAAAAGTGGACAGAAATCATATTTTATTTCTCACAACACTGATGAGCTTACTAACATTCCTCAGCTTTTCTAAAGTAAAGTAACATTAAAACTGTTAGTTACATAATAAAAAACGCGCATGAAATATTCTAACAAAAGTTGATGATTTAATAATTTAATGTCCAAAATGTTTGTTGATATCAATAATAAAAGTCTCATCTCAAAATAGTAGCACGCGACTTCCCCAGATTCTCCCCACCTGCAAGTCCATATGACGTATTCACGATTCCGCACCGTGGCGCCATCCGGCGAGTTGCACGGCAACTTGGTGGAGTAGGCACTGCTTAAGCTAATTATGCACTCTTTTTCTTGTCCGGAGAAGTGGAAAGAACGAAGTGTAGGCTGATCATAAGCATATATATTATAGTACATACAGAACAAACGTATTTCGTGATGTTTAAAACGTAATTGGCACGTGATCTTACAAATTATTCAATTATCAAAGAATAACGAGTAATGCATAGAAAGTTAATTTGATAATTTTTGCAGCTTCTATTTCACGCTGATTCTTTTTTTTTTTTTGGCCAGTTGGGGGGGGGGGGAGGCAAATGTGAGAATCATATATAGAATATATAGTGGTGCGGACGTGTACGAGTTCGCCGAAGTGGAATAACACCGATGACGCGAAGGCGCTTGCCTTTCACCACTGAGGATCCGGGTCCGATTCCCGTAGAATCCCCGTAGAACTTCATGTGAAACTTTTGACAATAAGAGTTAAGAGAGGGTAAGGGAAAACCGAAAAGCTAGCTCTAACTAAACAGAATAGGAAACCAACTTGAACGAGAAAGTCCGTACATTCTGTAACATCACTAGTTCATCATTAAAATACTTTTTTGTCCGTTCCTCGTTTCAATAACAGTCGCAATAACAAATTACATTCATTTAATATACAAGAGACAGGCAATAAGTTATGGAGTTAATATATTAAGTCATTGTAGGAGAGCTAAGCGTGCACAGGTAAGTTGGTACATTTTGGGTATGGTTCTGCCTCAGTTACAAATCAGTCTGTCGAAAGCTCTTGATGTGAGAAAACGGCAAGTGCAGTGCGTGCGGGTCAACAGAGAAAATGGGAGATTTCGAACATTGTGGCTTCGAACAGCTTAATCATCCTCCATATAGCCCAGATACGGCTGGATCTCAGTGACTATTTTCCGTTTCGAAACATGAAAAAATTATGCGACGATTTCTGCTGACGATGAAACAGTAGCAAGCTTTAATGGGATATCTGCAAAGTCAAATGTCACTTTACTTTCTTAGGGTATTCGATCACTGGAGGCGAAATAGACCACGTGTGTTGAAGTCAACGGGGACGGAATTAAAAAGTAATGAGGTGATGTTCATAGGTAATAATATCACTAGTGCTGTGGAAATTGCAGATAAATTCCCGACTCGCGAAACGAGGAAGGGGTTTGTTGGGGAATTTCCAAAGCACGAGTGGAATTTAATAGTGAAATTATGTCCAGTAGTTCCAAAACGCATCAAATATTGAACATAACTGAAGGCTATGTTAAAATCAAATAGGGTATGTTATAGTATCTACACGGTCTATTGGACATCGACATAGCGATGTACAATACCTCCTCCCAAGATAGATGAGTCACAGATTGGACAGAAGGAAGAAGAGGTAAGAAAATCGGATAGAAAAAGCATTAAACATTTTGAGATAGACCGCCGTGATAGGGGCATTTTGTATGTGTAGTTAAACACTATTGGTTTTCATTCCACGAGTGGAACAGTCCACATAAAATTTCATATTCGTGCTCAGGTGGATAACTTACTGATCGCCCTACGTACTTACAAGGTCACGAGCTCCTTCGGCCTCTCAACTAAGACACCTACAGAGCCATCCCCTCACCTTTTGGTCCATCTGACCGTGCAGGCGGAAGAAGTCGACCCCGACGTTGAAACTGTCCTCGGGGTCGTCGTCCCCGTTGCTGCCTTCCTGCTCGTCCGTGTCCTTGCGGCTGAGCACCACCGTCAGCAGCTCCGTCAAGTAGTCCACCATGTCCTGCGTGGCGCAGAACAGCAGCATTTTGCGCTCTTCGCAGAACTGCGAACAAAAGGCAACACCACGTCCATCTCAGGGGAGTAACCACAAAATCAGGTGGTTAAGGTACGTTGCTTTTACAGCGGCGAACCCTAGGGCCTCCGAGAGAACGATGCTGCAGAAGCATGTGTTGCTGCTGAGCTATGGGAGCTGGTAAATACTCTTGTGTAGATATTCGTAGAAGGATCTGAAACGGACCTCACTAGATTTCAGTAGCAAGCTTTAGATCAATCGGACAACTGTTAGGCAACCCCCATCGAATATAAATGGCGAACCCTAGGACATCCGAGTGAACGATGCTGTAGTATTTCACACTATTTAAAAGATACATTAAAGCAAGCCAACAACTAATTTGCCAGAACTCTGATTTCACCGCGATTAAGTACAAAAAAAACGCAACCAATAAAAGTGGAGGAAAAAGTACTGCTGTTCATTATATTTAGGAATGTCTAGTTTTATAATCATCTCAATGTTCCCTGGCTCAAGGACTCCACAAATTCCCTGGTTTTTCCCTAACGTTTCCAGAGCAATAAAATTCCCTTATTTTTTTCAGGATTTCCAGTAAGAGCTCTACCTGCCTGTTAACTTTCTACTCTTAAAGTTACCACGAATCAGCAAAACAAATTGTGAAATGAACACTGACGAAGCGTGCGGTAATACAATATCACTCCCCATTTCCTCCAGGGCTAGCTGCAGCACAGCACCTTGCACCTTGCCCTACAAGATAAAGGTCGAAAGCGTGCCGCCATGTTGCCATGCCGCTATGATGCTGCCACTCTCGTTCCACGAGTCTTAGCGATTCTTCAAAAAATTCTACGATTTCCCCCTAACTTTTACAGGCAAATAAAATTCCCTTTTTTGGTCAGGTTTTCCAGAAAGTGGTCCCCCTGCCCGTTAAGTTCCTACTCTGTAAATTACCACGAATCAATAAAACAAATGGTGAAATGAACACTGACGAAGCGTGCGGTGCAGCACCCACCTTGCACTTCCACAAGATGAAGGCCGAGAGCGTGACGAGGCGCAGCTTGGCCGGCACCACCATGTAGCACTGCACGAGGCTGTCGGGGATGACGACGTCCTTGGTGTCCATCTCGGCGTCGGCGGCGTCCACGAAGTCCGGCGCCTGCAGCGCCAACCCGGCCAGCCGCTCCACGGCCGGCGTCAGCGTCGCCGACAGCAGCACCGTCTGGCGGCGGCGCTCCTTCGGACTGGCCACCGCCCCAGCACCGCCCTGGACCTCGCCCTCGCCCACGCCCCCACCCTGGTCGTCTTCGTCTTCCGCTTCCCACACGTCCTCCTCCTTCCTGTACACCTCCTCCCCGTCTTCCTCGTCCTCGCTGGACTCTTCGTCCCATTTGTCCCCCTCCAGTTCCTTGGCGTCCACGATCTCGTCCGCTCGCTCCTCCGGGTCGTAGTCGCTCGTCTCGTCTTCCTCCCGCGCCAGCTTCGCTTCCGCCCCCTTCCTAACTTCCTCCTCCACCTTCTCCTTCTTCTTTCCTTCTCTCGTCCTCTTCACCTCCTCTTCGCTCGTCTCTTCTTCTTCCCCTGCTCCGCTATCTTGAGATGTGTACCCCACTTTGTGATCAGTTTTCTCCTCGGTGTTTTCGTCTGGCGACTCCTTATCCATAAAGTACGTTTTCCTGTTCCATGCTAAAACTTCCTTGGAGAGCAGAGGTTGCGACTGAGAATCTAACTCTGCAACGATACTGAAAAAAAGAAAGAAATTGTTTATTTCCGTCATTAGAGATTTTCTGAAATGTTTATCTTCATGCTCGTGTTCTTTTTGCACCTATAAACACTACGGAGGAAGGAACGCCTATACTCGATAACTGCTTATACGAGTGTAAAATGACTTTAGATACAATGATAAATGCGTGTATTGAAATGTTATGGGAACATTTTTTTTCTCATGACCGGGTAGCAACACGCGACATACTACAATATTTCATGAAAGTGATAGCATTTTCGAATGATTTCAGTAGGATGGTGAAGCGGTTGGCGCGTACCGGGGGCTACCACGAATGTCTGCAACTCATAAAGGGGATCGGTTCAAAAAAATTGAAGGTATTTTACGAGGTTAGAAGTTTAACATTCATATCGAATATTTAAATATTAACCATGCTATTTACGCTTAAAAAGAATGATAGAGATAATGTTCAAAAAGAAATATATTTGGCGGATCAGTGGTTGAACAATGGGAATTTACGTTCATACCTTCAGTCCATTTGTCGGATAGCATGGAGTGATTGAGATCGTTTGATGAGTTGTCGGCATTTGCCGTGATGTTTCGATAAATAGTGGGAGTGATTTACATAAAGCATCAACATTTAAAATTTGTCTAAATATTATTCATCTGTTTTTATTATACTTTTGTCTTCGAGTCTGTCGTGTGTACGCTCTTGTTGTAGTGCAGGCTGGGCTGAGCTTGATCCGACGGCTAGATAATAATATATGAATAAGTAATAATAATGAATATAAGGTAATAGAATACTATATGTGGTAGAAAAGTCGAGTGCCCACCGATTATCTCGGGGTGAACATATGGTGTTGCGTTTTTCGTCTAAGTGCAGGACGTATGGGTGTTAATAATAAAGATTAGTATTTCCATTGGGTGAAAGTTGAGGACTCGAGGGGATTCTCTGCAGCGTAAGCGATGTCAAGTTTAGTTTGAGACAGACCCTAATGTACAGGTCAGCGGAAAAGTGAGCGGCGAGGGATATCCGTCGTGGGTCTTCGGTCTCGTGCTGACATCAATGTGGCACACTTTATTTCGAGACATTGCGCTGGTGTAACTGGCACCATTCTTCTGCGGGGGAGACGGATTGTGTGGCCCCTCCAGGCATGCCCGCGAAGTGTTGGTACGACTATGTTATTCTGAGAACAACTTTTGGTGATAAGAGTACCTCCCGCGGTGAGCTGGGTCCTTCCGTGGTGCATGACCCGGAAATGTTGGTGTATCGCACGTTAGTTCGAGGACATTGTGTAGGACGGACCCATCTCGTGGCATGCCTGAGGAGCTGGTGCATGTATCATGATTGGAGAAGACTGTAATCAAAGCGGGGGGTAAACATAACGTGCACCCGGGACGACGACAGGCCCGGGTGGCAATGCTCTCGCTAAATGGAGTTTGTGGGTACTACTTTTGGTCGTGAGAGGAGGGACAACGTGATGTAAGATAAACCCCTCGGTTGATGTGCTGCCCGCAGGTCCCGCGCCGTGCTTTGTCCGAATGTTGGTATAGGTAGATATGTCGAGAGATGACTATCGCGTGTGTAAACGGGCACAGCGAGGTGGAGTGCGGGAGAGAGGCTGTGGCGTAGAAGGGGACTAGTAGAGTGCTGTGGTATTAGATTGTGGTTACGTGTTGGGGAGAACTGAGGTAGTTGACGCAAGGTGTAGCTGAGATGGGCCAAAAGGGGCGTGGAATAGGTCTGTAGTGTTTGAAAAAATCCGCACGTGCGCAGGAGAAGTTTTGCGCCGCTTGAAATGTTGGTGGATGTACACATATTCAAGCCCCGCACCCTGTTGAAAGAGGAGAGAAGGAGACGACACACCTGGGGAGTCGCGCTGTAGCCGTGGGTCGAGGGGCAGGGAGGTCGGCTCGGTCGAGAGCACGAGAGATAGCTGCAGGCTTGTCAGGGGCGGCAGGCGGGGCGGCGTTGCTGCACGTGGTGGAGCGAGGGGCCGGCCGGGCGTGGCCCACGAGTGATGGTTGAGGTCCGGTTTGCGCGAGGGCGCGCTTCTCCGGACTTGCGATTCTCGAGTTTCAGAGGCAGCCCGGCACAGGCGGATGGAGAACGGCTGGCCGAACAGAGCACGGCACTCAGGTTTTAACGGCTTTCCGTTACGGACGAAGAGGAACTTAGTACAAACAATGGTTCAATATATAAGTTTAATTTTTCTTCAAGAAGAATACGCTAAACTAGACGCTGAAAGTAAACATTCAGATATTAATGTTTAGATTCGGGGACTGGATGTAGATCCTTCTAGTATTTAAGTACAATCAGAATGTAAGGAGTTATGATGGTAGTAGACAATTTTTTCGGATGTAGATGTTGCGGTTTTGGGTGTGCTGGTAGCGATTATCTCGAGAGTAAAAAATTTGAAATAGAATTAATATTTAATTAACATTAGGAATAAGTTTAGCAGACATTAGAGCGGATAGTACAAGTTGTAAGGGGATAGACTGATTTATTTAATTGATAGGAATGTTATTTCAAATTTTAGCTTGAGGAATGATAGCTACGCGATAGAAGCGTCGTCAGCAAAATACATTGTTGATAGCAGATGAATCTATTTATGGAGCGTACTTAAGACTTTCAAATATTGTCATCGCTTGTAATAAGCACGCGGAAAGATTATATAGTCTTGTGATATTCAGGGGCAATATAGAATGAAACAGGATTCATAAGGAAAAAATGTCTATCTTGATGTATTTTAGTGTTTGAGAGGGGATAAGGTGATTGAACTTTCGGAAATTTGTGCAAAAATCGAGGGGATTGTCAAAGAAATTAGAACTGATTGCATTTCGATTTAGATGAGATCTCGCTGCGAGGCACACGACGGCAATGATTAATTCAAGACTTTGGACAGTTAATTTTTTGAGAGATTGTTGGTTTTGAAAATAGTTGAGAGCTTTGACGGTGAAAGTTATGCCGCAGGAGTAAAGAGTATAGTTTGGATTGATTCGCGAAGCGTGCGGTTGGAGTTGTCGGTCATGTGTCGGAGAAGTACGAAATGTTTGGAATGAAAGTAATCGGCTGGTAGCGTGACCACGAGAGACTGGAGGACAGAAGCGTATGCCGGTCAGATTGATTGTTTGGTATGCAAGGCACATGACATATAGATTCTGGTGAGCAAGTGTTTTTAGAGAAATTTCTTTGTCTATAACTGTTTAATGGCAACTGGAGTGTTGAATAGTGCAGTAGTCGTTCTCATAGTGTCAAGCGACAATTAGATTTATTCTGGCCGACAATTATCAGATTGGGTGCCACAGCATGGAGTGCAGAAGTTACTTTCTCTAACTGAGAGTTTACTACGAGACGAGCAGAGATAAAAAGGAAAGAGATGTGGAGACGTAGCATCGAAGGCGTGGCTTCAAAGTGCGTTATTCAGGGTAATAGTATGTCAGAAAAAAATAAGCATGCAAAGAGGCGAAGTTGTAGCTGGTAATAGATTTTAGCCCTACTCATAAACTCGTAGATTCGGTCTCGGAGAACGGCGTGTGTCTGGACAAAGTCCAAGCTACTAGAAGGTTCTGGTGTTTGGTTACATGATGGGCGATTTGTGTATTCCAGCTCTTAGACTGTTTGTCTAGGCGTTTTGACAAACGGCCGCCGTAGGAGGGTTAGCGTATCGTATTCACGTATCGAGAGGCGAGTATTTTTGTAATACAATATGGGAAGGCAACGCTAGTTTGATTTTAATATAGAGATAGATAGAAATGCTTATAGAGGGTATGTAGGAGTCAAAGAGGATGAAGGTGTGACAGCGCTGATTATTGAGTGGACGCGCAATTATTGAGATCATGTGAGCTGGGATGCCTTTTACGTATAGTTAGTAAGCGACGATCCATCGAAAATGCGTGTGAAGG